AACCCAATATATTAAAAATGTTTAATCAAAATGAAAAAAAAAATGATTCAATGAAATACATTGTTTGTTGTTAGGTGAATTTTTAGTATTTGAATATGACCCTGATAGACATGCTTGGTCCAGTAGAATCATTTTGCAAAGAACTTCCCCTAATGGGAAAATAAAATGAATGAAGGGTGAATTTGTATAAGTCCTAATACACTGTGATTTGGGAATAACCTGAGAACTGCCTTACATTTTGTGCTATATTTGGAGCAGCCTTTTCCCCTCTCTTCGTCAGTGCACAGCATTTTCATGGGGTGACCTGAGCGCACATTTTCTTTTATACCATAGATTTTCTCTGGACTTGTCGCCCTAAGGAAAATATGCAACCACCCAGATCTCTTTACTGGAGGTCCCAAGAATCCCAAAGATCTTCCTGATGATGAATTAGAGGAAGATCAGTTTGGATACTGGAAGCGTTCTGGGAAAATGATAGTTGTTGAATCCTTGTTGAAAATATGGCACAAGCAGGGTCAGCGAGTATTGCTGTTTTCTCAGTCCAGACAGGTGAGTGAGCAAACCTCACATTAGAAACAGGCTGGCGCTTTATGATTTACAGTCTCATTGGTAACATAGGTGGCAGGCTGCAAATCTCTGTGGGAGTTTAGATCTCTCTCTAGAGATTGTCTCATTTGATTGTGTGCAGCAGGTGAGTTTGAGCCTGTGCAGGTCATTTACAAAACTTAGAAGAATTACCTGTAGGGAAATATACTATTATACCAACTATATTTACCCGCCTTAAAGCAAGAAGCCCGTGATAATTTAAGCTGGTCTGGGGAAGGTGTGACTGTGTTGATCCTAACTGAAGGATTTATGGAATTTTTAAACTCTTCTCTTTTACTCCATCCCGTATAGATGCTAGATATACTTGAAGTATTCCTGAGAGCCCAAAAGTATTCCTATCTCAAGATGGACGGTACTACTACAATAGCATCAAGACAACCACTGATTACCAGATATAATGAGGTAATGAGTAAATGTTACAATAAAGTCAAATCAAGTAACAAAAGCTTAATGCATTGAGCTGCTAACTAACAGGTTTGAGATTCAAGTCCACGCCGAGGTATCTCAAAAGAAAGGCCTGCCAATCTACTTCTAAAACTAAGCAGCTGTTGAGAACCCTGTGGAGCACTCCTCTGACACACAGGCTCGCCAAGAGTCGGGATCAGGTTAACAGTTGTTGCTGCTGTTTTCCTGGAGAGGAGACACAATGAGTGTCCCCACCAAACTCAGCAGTGTTTCTCTCTGGGATTAAGAAGGTCATGAAAGGAACTTTTTGCTTTTAACTCTGTCTATTTCTGAATTATTGGGTGTGCACATGTGCAAATTTAAGCAAAAATACATATCTCTCTTTAAATCCAAATTTTAAAACATTGCTAACATTGCTGGGTGGTGGTGGTTGTGTGTCTTTGAGTTGGTTACGACTCATAGCGACCCTCTTTAGGGTTTCAGAGGCTGTCAATCTTTATGGAAACAGAAAGCCTTATCTTTCTCCATGGAGCAACTGGTAGCTTTGAACTGCTGACCTTTGGGTTAGCAGCCCAGCTTGTAATCCACTGTGCTCCCAGGACTCCTTAGTGGTAACATCAGTGATACTAAATGTGAGAGGTTTGATATAGGCCCTGGATTCACTGACAATCTCTAGACATCACTGCTGCCTTATTCTGGGAAAGATCGGCTGGAGGAAAAGCAGAGGCCAGGAGCTGTAGCATCTCAGTAATGCACATACTGAGTGTTGTGTGTTACTTCTAGAACACGTCCATATTTGTGTTTCTTCTGACCACTCGTGTGGGAGGCCTAGGAGTCAACCTGACAGGGGCCAACAGAGTCATCATCTATGACCCCGACTGGAACCCAAGCACAGACACACAGGTCTGTTTATTATTTTAAATGTCTATAGAAATATGAATTATTATCATCGTCTTTTTCTGATTTTTTTTTTTTTTGATGTTCTAGTCAGCTTCAGCACACAGCACATGTCTTTATTTTTTTCCTACTCTTTATTGCATTGCCAAGATCCTCCAGAATCACATAAAAACCTCAGCAGCTTATCCAGGGCATTTACTGCTAGATTTGGGGTAAAAGGGATATATGAGTTTACAGCGCAGACTTTTGTTTTCACGTAGAGGTGTCTCAGTCCTATCTTTGTTGTGTGGCTATTTATCTTTGATATAGGCCTTTGGTGTGCTTGGCCTATTAGGCATATTTCTGACTTTGGGAATGAAAGGAAATCTACCAACTCATCATCGTTCCTTTCGGTTGGTCCTTCTCCGTAGGAAGGTGTTTGCTGAACTGTGTCTCTCTTCTCTAGGCCCGGGAGCGAGCATGGAGAATAGGCCAGAAGAAGCAGGTGACTGTGTACAGGCTTCTAACTGCAGGCACCATTGAAGAGAAGATTTACCACCGGTCAGTACTTAGGGTTACCACTGCTTGCTCTCTTGCTCTCCTTGCTGCAGCATGTGGAGGAGATAGAAATTAGGTCACCGGGTATTTGAATGAGGAATTTTTTTCAAGTTTTGTTTTAAAAAAGTCTTTTCATCATAGAGCCACAGTTACTGTAACTTGAGGGATATGGAAGATTTGGGGGTTGTTTTGTTGCTGTTTTTTTGTTTGTTTGTTTGTCCTTAAATAAGCTTAAGTGGTTCTATTGAGAGCGTTTAAAAAAACATCTTCAAACTTTGAGAATTTGTGTATCTTAATAAACTTCTTCATAATTGTTCCTAGAGAAGTGCTCCTACCTAGTGTAGTGTGCCTTCTCTTCAGGAGGTGGCCAACTTGAAATGCTAGTGCATTGTTGTTCTCACTCCCACTCAGGTGTCATTTGTGTGGACACCGGTGGTGGGGGTGGGGTGTCTCGATTCCCCGAGAGAGAGGTTGACCAGGAGGGACACCTTTGCTCCATCTCTCTGTATAATGATTAGAGGATTTCAGAAAATGAGTTCAACAGTAATGCTGGCTTCTCCCCCTCCCCAGCAAAAGATTTTAATTTGCAGCTGTACCCTGAGTCCTCAGTTAGCGCTCAGGAGGTACCTGCTCTATACATGCAGCTAACCCACTCCTGGAGTGTTTACATACTCTGCGAGGACCCTTGTGGAAAGGCTGGAGACAAGGTGAATCCTGTTGAGAGAAGAGCCTTCTCTTAGTGTTCCATGCCTGGAGAATCAGTGACTAGGAGGGGTGGGACTGCTTTGGAGATATCTGTGCAAGCGGGATGATGGTGTGGAGCTTTAACCCTGAGAGTGGATCAGCAGGTGGGAACTGGGGGAATGGGTCACAGGAAAATCATTGAAAGCACAGATAATAGTTTTCTAAGCCCATCTTCCAAATAGGGCCTGACAGAGAGAGACTCGTCCTTCCAGCTCCAAGGCTATGAGTGGTGTGTAAAAAAGTCCTTCTTGAAATGCGACTGCTCTTGGAGGTTGAAAATGCTCACTGGTTATTTCTAAATTAAATTCTGTAACACACCCAAGACCAACCGACTTTAGTGCATTATGTAATTCCTGAATTGTGATTTTCAAAGACTAATAGTTTGGGTTATTATTTAGAGTTGTATGCAACTTCAGCTAACAAAGCTCTCTTAGGTTGTTTTATAACGTAAATTTTGAGGTAGAGCTAAACATTGTTTCATACCAGATTACTTACTTATTTTTTATCCTTTTAGACAAATCTTCAAGCAATTTTTGACAAATAGAGTGCTAAAAGATCCCAAACAAAGGCGATTTTTCAAATCCAATGATCTTTATGAGCTGTTTACTCTGACTAGCCCTGACCCATCTCAGAGTACTGAGACAAGCGCTATTTTTGCAGGTATTACATAACATCACTTAAGTGAATGTAGTAAACCTTAAAGTAAGCCAAAATCACGTTAGCTGTGTTTTTCCCCTTTAAAGGAACTGGTTCAGATGTGCAGACACCCAGACGTCATTCAAAAAGAAAAATACAACCAATCTTGGGAGCAGACCATGACATTCCAATATGCAAAAAATTACCAGATGATAATATATCTGCAAATGATGCCCTATCACCTGGAGAGAAATCTAAATCTGAAACACATGCAGTAATTTCTGATTACAGTGATCCTTTGAAAGGTGACGCTCCCCAAACAAGTAATCATCTGACTAGCAGTGATCAACTTGTAGAAGAGAAGCATTTACAAGTAAATGCAGATTGTCAACTACAGGAGTCATCGATGATTAGTGAAAACAGGGAATGTTCAAATTCTCCAGCATTCAGTAAGGCATGCAGGACAGCTGATGAGGAAAGTACTGAGGAAAAGCAAGATCTTTCTTATAAAGGAAGCCACCACAGTCAAGCCAAGCCTTGGGAGAATGAACGAACAGGGAATCATTTTTATAAGCACAAATCAAAAACAAAGCACCACAATGTGGTCGAAGAATCCCTGGAGACGCATCTGGGACAGAAGGACAATTCTAGGTGCTCTAAGCATCGAACAGGTGTCAGCTTTGAAGGGACTCGAATCCCACACTTAGTGAAGAAAAGGCGGTACCGGAAGCAAGACTGTGCAGACGAGAGGAACACAAAAGAATGGAACAATGATGATTATGTTTTGGAAAAACTTTTCAAAAAAGCAGGTAATCCTCGTCATGTATTTTCCACTGGTGAACTAAGTCTAGAAATAAGTATTTCCAGAAGCTATTGTTGTTAAGTGCCGTTGAGTCAACTCTGACTCATTGAGCAGCTGGTGGGTTTGAACTGCTGACCCGTGGTTTACAATGTCCATTGCTGATCCTACAGCGCCACTTCAGGAGTTCTGTAAGTAGCAACTTTTAATGATAATACAAATTAGGTTCTAAACCTAAATTATTTTTCTTCTCAACTTCCAATTTCAAATGTAGTAGTTATTTTGAAAATAGTTTTTACTCTGTTTTCTGAAGACTTACAGGAAAATTAGAAACTTTGAACATCAGTTACTTATAACTGCTAATAATAGTGATTGTTGTTGTTGTTAAGTGCCGTCGAGTCGGTTCCGACCCATAGCGACCCTGTACAGGGTTCCCGAGGGTGTAAATCTTTACGGGAGTAGAAAGCCTCATCTTTCTCCCGCGGAGCGACTGGTAGTTTTGAACCACAGACCTTAAGGTTCGCACATGCTTTAAATTGATTTGTGCCGCCTGAACATTAATAACTGATTTCTTTTATGCTATTTTTAACAGAAATAATATAAAATTTGAGTTTGTGATATTTATTATTAAACTATATTTCTAAATGATTACAGTATATAAATTTAGTTATTCATTAATTCCCCCACCTCCACCCCCAAACTGTAATAGAAGCTTACCTGGAGGTCTCTATATTTTTTCCCTAATAAACATAAATTCACAAGTGCCTTACTCTTCATGTGAATGAGGTGCTAACATGGAACCAGGCTGACAGACACACTGGGCCTGCAGATGCCGGCTGAAGGAGGCTCCCCGACTCAGGGCTGCTCCCCGAGGGCTGGCTGCAGTACTTTTCCCCTCCCTTCTCTCCTCACTGAGTGGGTGGGCAAAGGGAGGAAAAAGGAACCCAAGTTTCTGAGCCAGGCTGCCCTGGGTACGAATTCCAATTCTACCACTCAGAACCTCTCTGAACTTCGGTGTCCTCATCTGCAGGTGGGGACAACCACAGTTCTCAGAGGACCCGATAGTGTCAATTGCTGCTGCTCGTTACGGTAGAGTTGACTCCCACTTATGGTGACCCCAGGTACAACAGAAGGAAATGTTGCCTGGTCCTGTGCCCTGGTCACAGTCATAGGTATCCTTGAATCCGTTGTGTCACTGTATATTTTGAGGGCCTTCAAACTTGGGGAGGGGGGCTCACCTTTCATCTCTGTATTACAACAATATTCGGTTGTAATCCCTAGGATTTTCATTGGCTAATATTCAGAATGAGCTACCAGTCTTGTAATCTGGAAGCTCTCCTAAAACCTGTCTAGTATGGGTGACCCTCCTGGTATTTGAAAGACTGGTAACATGACTTCGTAGCATCTTAACGATATGCAAGCCACCACAATATGACAGACCGGTGCCAGTGGATAAATGCCACACAGTAAATGAAACAAAATATGTGAATTTTAGCAGCAAACCTGGTTCATCATGGGAGCATAGTAAATTATTGTTTCTCCCTTCCATTGAGATATATTTATTGAACTTTAAAGAAATACAGTTGTATTTGATGCCAAGGACCTAAGAAAGAATAATATCCAATTTCTATCCTTTAGCACCTCAGGGTCCAGTGGGAGAAGCCTTGTCTTTCCTCCCTCTTTCTCCCAGACTTCCTCTAGGGCTGCAAGTGGGACTGGAGACCACCACAGGGAATCTTGGGGAGTCCTTGGGAAGGTGCCCACAGACCCAGGGTAGACTCTCAGAGCTGGATGGTCCTGTGTAACTAACCTCCAGTCCTTGTTTTTTATTAACTTCTCAATTGAGTGATGGCCTATTCCAGGGCGTTGTTCCAAACCTCTTATTTTTTGAGCCCAGCTGAAAGTGGGCCAACTCATGGGGCCTGTGAGGAACCAGAGAGATTTGAATGTCGTGCCCTGCACTGAGTTTCTCGCCTGCCATGGAACTCTCTCTTAATTCCTTCAAACAAATTGGAGCTCAAGTTCAGGTTAAAGGAAAGGATAAGAAGGAACAGGATCAGACCTGTCTCTGCAGGCATCTCAGCGCTGGTGTAGAGCCGAGATTTTGACCATTGCAACTACTAACTCAAAGACACTTAACGACAACAGCAATCTTTTTTTTTTTTAAACTTTATATTTTAAATTGAGTGAAGGTTTACAGAACTGATCATCAGTTTTATATTCAGCAGATTACATACTTCATTCAGTCTCACTGATTGTAATCCCTTCAGTGGAGCATCACTTAATCATACTTTTGTGTCTCTTGTTTCCATTCCTCCTCTCTTTCCCTCCCTTCAGAACTTCCACCTTGGGTAATTGCTGCCTTTTTTACCTCAAATGGTTGACGATTCTGTGGTGTTTCCTCACTAATGTTATTGTTCCCCTTTTATACCTATCTGCTGCTTAGCTGAGAGTTGAACCACATGGGTGAGTTCCATTCTAGACCTGAAGGGTGACTAAGGACTGACAGTCTCTCTATCTGACCAGTAAACCTCGTCTTTTTTATAATTTTGAGTTTTGTTTCACATTTTATCCCACTCTGTCCAGGACATCACCATACAGGACCTTCTAATGTGGTGCCTTTCAAAGCAGTGGATAGTGGAATCTGGGCACCATCTTTAGTTCTTTAGGCCTCCTGGTTGTGGAGACTGATATTCATGTGATCCATTGACTTACTGAATTAATTGTTTCTAAGTGTCTTCAATTTTCAACACTTTTCTTTTCTAAGGATTAGGAAAGACCAAGAGTTGTACCTTAGATGGCTGTTTATATGTTTTTAAGATCCAAGTCACTATTCACCAGAAGTAGGATATAAACCATTCTGTTTGTGGCCCATGTTATGCCTGCTGACCATGATGTCCACCAAGATTATGGTCCTGAGTCCCAGGGCCAGCAAAGAATGTCCTCAAAGTATTTGGTAATCGCTAAGAAATTTTCAAAATGTTGCCCGCTGTAAGGCACACCACATTCAGGGTATGTTCTCAGTAAAGGTAAATTGTTGTTGAGGACCATGTAGTCAGATTCGACTCAGTAACCTTGTGCACCTAAGACAGAGCACTGCGCGGTTCTGCACCGTCCTCCTAATTGTGAGCCTGTTGTTATTGCCACTCTGTCAGTCCATCTTATTGGGAGTCTTCTTTATTTGCTGATCCTTCTCCAGGGACTGGTTTCTCCTGATCACTTGACCAAAGTATGAGAGACTTTGAACCCTCCTGCCTTCTAAGAAGCATTTGGCTGTACTTCTTCCAACAAAGATTTGTTTTTTCCTCTGGTAATTTTAATATTCTTCTCCAACACTATTATTCAGATGCATCAGTTCTTCTGTGGTGTTCCTTATTCATTGTTCAACTCTCAAACATATGTATGAGACTATTGAAAATACTGTGCCTTCAGTCAGGTGTACCTTAGTCCTCAAACTGACATCTTTTCTCTTGGACACTTTAAACAGGTCTTTTGCAACAGATTGGTCTAATGCAATATGTAGTTTGATTTCTTGACTGCTGCTTCCCTGAGTGTTGATTGTGGATCCAAGCTCCATTTGGCATGGTGTTACTTACTGGTCCAGTTGTGAGAATTTTTGTTTTCTTTACATTAAGGTACAGTGCATACTGATAGAATGTTTGGTTTTCATTAGTAAGTGTTTTAAGTCTTCAGCAAGCAAGGTTATATCATCTGCATATCGCAGGTTGTTAATGAGTCTTCCTCCGTTCTGATGCTACGCCACGTTCTTCTGTTCTTCTTCATGTAATCAAGCTTCTCAGATTATTTGCTCAGCGTACAGATTGAATAACTGTGGTGAAAGGATACAACCCTAGAACACACTGATTTTAAACCAGCCATTATCCCTTTGTTCTATTCTAACAACTGCCTCTTCGTTTACCTACAGGTTCTTCAAGAACACAGTGAAGTGTTCTTGAATAACCGTTTTTCACATGTTATCCATAGTTTCTTGTGATCTATACAGTTGAAAGTCTTTGTGTAATCAGTAAAGCACAAGTAAACATCTTTCTGGTATTGTCTGCTTTCAGCCAAAGTCCACCTGCATCAGCAATGATATCCCTGGTTGCACATCCTCTTCTGAATCTGGCTTGAGTTTTTGACAGTTCCCTGTTTACTTGCATATGTGGTATTGATGATATTATTTGAATGATTTCTGCATTGCGTTGGGTCACCTCTCCTTGAAATGGGCTCAAATATGTATCTCTTCCAGTCACTTGGTCGGTGGTTATCTTCAAAATTTCATGTCATAGATGAGTGAACACCTCCACTGCTACGTCAGTTAGTTGAAAATTTTCAATTTATTTTCCATTGCTTCCTGGAGCCTTGTTTTCTCCAGTGCCTTCATTGTAGCTTGGACTTCTTCCTTCAGTACCATCACTTCTTGATCAGATGCTACCTCTTGAATTGGTTGACCACTGTCCATTTCTTTTAGGTACATTGAGTCTTTGTATGCCTTCTACCTACTTTGGATGCTTTCTGCATCAGTCAGTATTTTGCCCATCGAATCCTTCAATACTACAAGCCGTGGCTTGAAGTTTTTCTTCATTTCTTTCAGCTTGAGAAATGCCGAGCATTCTTTTAGACTTTGGTTTTCTAACTACAGGTATTTGCATATTTTAGTATAATTCTTGACTTTGTCTTGAAATTTTCTGTTCAGCTCTAATTACCTCCTCATCTTTTTTCCATGAATTTTAGCTTTTCTGTGCTCAACAGTAGGTTTCAGACTATCTTCTGACATCCATTTTTGTCTTCTTTTTCTTTCTTACCTTCTTAATGACATTTTTGTTTCTTCCTATATAATGTTCTTAATGTCATCCCACAGCTCTTCTGAACTTTGGTTATTAGTGTCTTAACGCATCAAATCTGGTCTTGCGATGGTCTCTCAATTCATGTGGAATCCATTCAAAATCATATTTGGCTATCACAGACAGTACTTGAAGGTAGATCTTGAAATGTTCTTTCTGACGATGA